CCTTCCTACTTGGCCCCAGCCCCCTCTTGGCCCACTTGAGAATGAGAAGCCTGAGAGATCCCAGCTAGATTTCACTAAGCACTGAGCTGGCTTTGTTTGAGCCCGTTGCCATGGAAACAGTTGTCTAGGACACCACCACGGGGAGTAACGTCTCATTCCCTTCACTCTGTCTCTGGAGCGGCCTATTCTCTATGTCCCCTCCTCCGAATACCTTCCACTTCTTTCCCACCCCTGAATCTTCTGTGTCCCTTTTAGTCCAAACCCACCTACGGTACACACATTAGTCCCATCGTGCGGAGGGAACGAGGACTGACCGCCCCACCCTGTTGTTCCCATCTCTCCCGAATTCAGGGTCTGTGCTTTCCTCTCGCCTTGCTTTTCTTCCCCACCCCTGACGTCGATTCTTTCCTTTTACATCATTTCGACTCTTTAATGTTTCTGCCTGCTTGAAAGTCTTTTCAGCACTTTTAGACTCCACTTCAAGGTTAGTATTTAAAGACACATTTAACTGTACTGTGAAAACAAGCCCCCCCCCCCCTCCCAGCGCAAAAAAAGCAAATCAATTAACTGAAGGCAACAGCAGGTTAATTAGCAGTTAATTATGGTCTCTATCTCCTTAGTGTTTTCAAAGCCGCAATGCTATCCCATTTGGCGTGACTGGGAATCATGGGTAATGTCTGGCACCTCTCTAACTCTGCTTCTGCTCATTATTTCGGCTCTACGACTCAATCAGCGCCGCGCCAAAACAGTCCAGAGTCGACAGTCACTGCCGGGGGGAAAGGGTGTCGGTGATGTCATCGGGGGGCGGGGCTTACTCGCTTCTCATCTGAGACGATGTAGTGCCGTCCGTGCTTCTTGCTCAGGTGGGGCACCAGGACCTCGAAGCGGCGGCGGAACTCAGAGAAGACCATGTGGTCCGGGTACCCTGGGGAGCGGACGGCGGCGGGAAATCACGAATGATGAAGGCGTTTACGAGCCCAGCGGAAACACACGCACACAAGCCTAACGTCGTCAAGCCTCGCCCTAATTGCCATCGTTACCTCCACACACCATCAGAACAAATCAACCGGAAAGCAGGTCAGCCCATTCCGATCACTCAGTTAATGACCGGTAATGATCACTAATGACTGTTTCTAGGGGAATCCATCACAGCCGTGATGACAGGACCCCAAACCCCAGCGGCTAGCTAATGCCGGCCCACCTTGTCTATGGATTCTCAGGGTGTCCAGCAGCCGAGAGCCCCGGACCTGGGCCCGGAGCAGGGGCACGTCCAGCTGCATGAGGCCCGGCTCGCAGCTCTCGCCCTGGGCCTCGGGCTCACCGGCCCGGGCTGCTTTGCTGTCGCGCCCTTTTGTGGCAGCGTCGGGGAAGGGCAGGAAGCAGTGCACGTAGTGGACCCGGGACCTCCTCACCAGGTCGATCAGGGCATCCTGTGAGCAGAAATGTGGCATCAGTCATGTCGTCTGTTTGCGGCGGGACCCTTTTCAAAGGTACAAAAGCAGCCCAGAGCAGAGGGGGACCGCGACAAACCCAAGTCACTGGGCCTTACTCAAGCCATGAGATATCCAGTGATAAAAATGGACAGGAGTTCCTATTGGCTGAGCAATTATTCAAAAGTAACAGAGTAAATGAGATTGCATGTGAATAAAGGTACAGAAAGGTACCATAAACCTATCCCTAATGAGGATTGCAAAATTCTGAAAATTTTACTGTTAATTCCCATATATTCCTATTAATTCCCACGGAATTTCCAAAATTCCCCAGCTTCACTTCCCATGGAATGGAAAGTTTCTGGAATTTTTCTGCCCCTTTGCAATCCTAACCCTAACCCTAACCCTAACCCCTAACCTAACCGGTATCCCATGAACCTCCACTCACCACCTGCAGCTTGACATGGAAGCACGGAGACCTCTTCTTGATGGCCGCCATGCCGGCGGTGAAGGTCTTCCTCAGGCTGGTGGCACGGCGCATGGCCAGCTGGGACACGCCCTCTAACCCGGCGATGGAGCCCGACAGCGCCGTCCCCGCAGCCCCCCGGCCCACAAACAGACCCCGGATGCTCTTTCTGACAGAGATGGACACGTGGACACAGAGTCAGGGTGAGCAGTAACATTAGCCTGGAGTCTGAAGGCCCGCAGACCCCGGTTCCCAGCCTCTCTGTTACGGTGTCGTCATCCTTACTTCTGGGAGTTCTGCAACAGGAATGCCGCGTTCTGGGACGTCGGATTCTGCTTGGCGTAACCCAGCCATCCTCGGGTGTCATATTCCACCCAGTCTGTCCCGTGGCTGTGTCCTAACAGGAAGTGATGCGGCTGCTGCCCTTTGAGGACGACCCCATGGCCTGCGGCGAGGACAGGAAGTGACATCAACCACACCGCTGCTGTCTGTCTGACTGACATTACATGATCGGTTCAGTCCCCCCCATTACCTTGACCACCCCCATTACCTTGACCCCCCCCCTCGGTCGGGCCGTAGTAGCTGAGCAGACGCATCACTAGTGCATCTTCTGAGCAGCCCGGCTGCAGTGCCTCCTCTTCCATCAGCCAGAGCAGCCCGCGAGCCTCATCCGCCTGTGCTGGCATCCGCGCCTACATGGGGGGGGGGGGGGGGGGGGGGTGCATATGCAGGCCGTGCTGGATCACAGAGTGACGCTGAGGGCCCCGCCTACACATACTGACTCATGCAGGACCGCCCACGCACATGCTCACGCCAGTGCCCAGGCAGGTGGACGGTCATGGTTCTCATGCACATACAGCCCGTCCCCCACTCCCGCCGACCCCCACGGCAGTAACAGCGGCTCTCCTGTACGTCTCTCCCGCTTTTCAGTATGTGAGATAAAAACCAACGCTTTTACGGAGTTCAAGGTCAGTGGGCTCTCGGCCATGAGAAACAACAGGTGCAGTAACCATAACCCTCCTGCAGGGGGCGGGTGTCTCTCCCCGTTCCAGCATCCTCACCAGGGTCTGCTTCACCGGCTGGTCCACCACAGCTATGGATGACGACGGGCTGGTCTCCACGTCATCCAGGGTCAGCTCCACGTTCTCCTAAGCGACGAACGGTATGTCCATCAGCCACCGCTAGCTACATGGAGAGGGATGTGGGGAGGGCACCCCCTGGTGGACATACCTCCCCGTGACGCTCCAGCTCCTGGGCGACGCTGTGCTCCTGAAACAGAGCCTGCAGTCGCTCCTGCGTGTAATTGTGACAGAGCTCCTGGAAGGTGCTGCCGCGGGGCTGCCCGGCCAGCCGGGGATTCTGGGAGCCGGGCGTGTCCACGATCATCAGCGAATAGAGCGAGTGCTGGTGGGACTTCAGGGCCCTGAAGGTGGAGAAGGGTGGAGGTGGGCGGGGGGCAGAGTGGCGGAGGACCCCCAACCGTCCCAGTGACTCACAAAATAAATAATATTTGTCAGACTACAGCTGGACACTTATGGAAGCTCTCAAGTCTCAGAGGTGGGGGCTCAACTGCATGACAATGTGATCATTGGGACAGTGAGCAGGGGCAATTCTAGAATTTTTTTAGTGTGGGGCCATATTTCATACAGAAAGCCCAACCTTCTCATTAGCCAATGATCTGTTTTTTATCTGTGAGTGACAGGAGATGGGGCACTCTAGGAGCCAACTGGTTTTCAGTTGGGGCCAGAAGCCCCACCCCTGTGTACACCCCTGACTGTCGGGCCTAAGAGAGGATATACGAAAGCCCCCCACCTGGGATCCCCTAGGGGCAGTTGGTGCGACGGCGAGCGGCTGACCTGTTGATGAGGAAGATGAGGAGGGAAAACAGCTCGGCGTAAAGCCCCGAGGCCATGGCCTCCAGGCAGTCAGCGGCCGACACCCGGGGTCCTCAGAGGGGAGAGAATGCACCCGCATTTCAGCACACTACTGTACATACACGCAACATACACGCAACATACACACTACATACACGCGACATACACGTGACATACAAGCAACATACACGCTACATACAC